TACAGTGACGGCGAGCACCGCTACTGCAACGCTTAGCGACGACTATCGTTGCTGCTTCCACCCCATCAGTGTACCGCCTTGTTCAGCGACCATTGCTGCCAGGTCCTATCTGCCGCCTTTTTTTCTTTTTTACCAAAATTATTTTTCGTTTCCCAATCAAAATTTAGAACTAAAAAATCAATTTTTCTTTAAAAGCTAGAAACATGAAAAATAACAACAATTAACTTTTGGTTGTTATATGATGCGAAACAATTTCTAACAAACACAAAGCAGTCTCTAATACCATAGTTGGGAATTCACTTATTCATGCACAGTGGAAAATACAACATATTTCAATTCCCACCAAGGATCTGTTTTGTATTTAGATAGAAACTAAAATAAGAATTATACTTTTGATGAATTCCACAAGCTCCTTTACTTTACTTGAACTCGAATGATCACAGTCAACAATATAAGCAGTCTAATTGTCTAGCCTCCAAAAGTAATCCACACAGAGAATAAGAATGACGACTAGGGTTTTCTTTTCTAGTGCTAGCACTTACAGTTTTCAAACCCTAATAGCTTATTAATATAAGTCCAAGAGAGCTTGACCCGTCTCTTAAACTTAACTGGGTTCAATATTTAATTAATCAAAATAATTGAATCTGGTCCATGAATTAATTAATCCAACTAATTAATTCAGACATATTAATAAGCAACTCAATTAATTAATTATCCAACATTTGTCAATTAATTAATTGATAAATCTCATTCTCTGCTTCTCTTTTGTGTCCATTAGATTCCTGATTAGGATACCTAACGACATGAATTATTACTTTAATCTAATCAAAATTGATAAATTAAAATTCTCCTTGTAAATTATCATCAATTCACATCCGTCATCCCAAATTGAGATCTAGCAATCTGTTGGGCAATACATATGACAAGAAATGTTACGTGGTATGACAAAATCAAACTTGTTCGTTTATCGTAAAACTATAATCATTTCGTCAATATGATGCGATCAATTATGAGATATGGATATGTGTCAATCTCAATTATCGATCATTTCATTTATTTCACTATAAAGTCAATATAAGTCGAAAACTCTTTTTCGACTTATGAGTTCACCTTAATTAAGGATTTCATTATCAACTTAACTTGATAAAATGTATATTATAATTTCTTATTATCTAAGAGTAGTGAATCATTTATTGATCATTCACAACTTTCATATGATTCTTGACATACCCTAACTATGCTGTATTAGCGACCATTGGCAGAGTAACATCCAACATCCCCAAAGTATGACTGTCCTCATATAAGGCACTATGATGATTTCAAGTCAAATGACCAATTCTACTACTGAACTTAGAGATTAACCACTGATGCTAGATAGTTGTCCATGTGCGGGTCTCCAATATTTTGTTTTATAACAAAATATCCATGTGTTCTTTCAAATGTCACCACACTTTAACTTGTGAGATCAACTACTTACTTTAAAAGTAATAAATGTCACACGTAATGGTCTATTTGTAATAACGATATCAGTATCTTGTTATTACATACGATCACGGACGATTTAAGATTCAGTCATATGTAATTTGTATATCACAATCACAACTTCTTGTGATTAACAAATCACTAAAACTTGAAGTTACGAATTCTATTATTTAATTTATGAGAATATTAATTTAATTAAATAATATATGTTTCCATAAATACGTATTGATAAAGGATGGACCCACATGGGGTCATGTGGGGTCAATTGACCCCACAAAAATTTCTAGTTTTTTTTTTAATCCAAAACATTGTCCAACTTTTTTTTTTAAAACTATAAATTATGCAAAACTTAGTCTAATTGTTCATTGCCAAGCCCATTTGCACAAGTCCAAGCCCAATTTCTCTTTGGTTTTCCCTAAATTCCAAAAAAAAAAAAAAAGATAGAAGAAACACCCAAATTTTATTCAGCCCTCCCTCCATCTCTCTCTGCACAGTTGCAACGAAATCTCCAGGGTTTTAGTAGCTGGCTTACAAGGTATCACTCTCTTTTGTCCAAGCACTACCTAGTGCAATGAAAATTGAACCAGCAAGCAGATAGTACTTGTAAAACTAGACAACTTTTGGTCTCCATTCTCATAGTGACACAATAACAGGTAACTTCAAACATTTTTGTTTCATTTTTCTTTGGCATGTGCAAGGAAATAATTAAACAATCAACATGTACCAACTGTTAGGTGTCAAGATATCCAAAAGCACTTCATCAAAGAACATGAAAAAAAAGGAAAAGGAAAGAGTAGCTTTAGAAGTTGTAAAAATTGAGGCAAATTTACAAGTTAGACATCATTCTCAATTTCAAGTAAGTAATGGCTTTCTCTACCTTGATGATCTAGAAATGTTCATGAAATTTATTGTTGTCTATTATGATTTATCCGTATAAGTTTGTCTTTCGATGAAAAATGAAATATGATATTTATTTATTTATATATTGAATTTGATTTTGTAACAGTCATGGAGAAATATTTTAAACGAAAATCCGTATTTTCGAGTGGAGAGCAAAATGTAGTTGAATCGAGTGTTCAAAATAAAATAGATGGCCTAGAAGAATCAAATATTTGGGATAAAAGAGAAGTTAATGATAAAATAGATTTAGCACAACTGCCTTCGGATCGCGAATTAAGAACTCCAATTGTGAATTATAATGTTAATGTTCGGGATGAAATTCGAAAAGCCTATGTACAAAGGGGTCCATGTCAACCTCGAAATCACATGTATCCATAGAAAGAATTTGGAGATTCGTCATTAAGCGATTTAAACCTTCTTGGTTTAATGACTTTCTTGGTTGGTTGGAATACAGTATATCAAAAGATGTACTATTTTATTTTTATTGTTATCTTTTCAAACCAAATAATGAAGAACGTGGTGATGGTGATTCTTTTGTTGGTGGAGGGTTCTCAAATTGCGGGAAAAAAAAGAGGAAGGCTTCAAACTCATGTTGTAGTGTATTGACTTATTTTCATTAATGATATGTTGTTTTTAAAAAAATGTATTTCAATTTTTGACCCTACAATGCTCTGGCTCTGTCCCTGATTGATAATATATATCAAAAGTGTTTATATTCCAAAATTGATTGAATTTAGAGTATAACACTTATAGTAGAAACTTAGTCATGAAAGAGTGAGCTTGAAAAAAATTAACCTTAAAAATGTAGCTTAAAAATCCATAATTGTCCAAAACTATTATTATTACCCTCTAAAAGATAGGAAAAATAATCAATGAAAAAGACAGACAGATGTACGGACATACATAGAGAGCCTAAGCTGAAGCAACCCCCAGTCAATAAGGGTAATGCAATTCATAATAAAGACGATAATGGCCCTACGTCACATGACAGTTTATTATTTGATACATTAATGTGATAGTTTTTTATTGTTTCATGCATCAAATAACGAATTGTCATGTATATGAAACGACTACCGGTGACCAAGTAATCAAGAAAACATGACAAGTCTACAAAGTTTTATTAAACTCCAAAACCATCAACTGTACCAACCGGTAGGTCAAGTTTACAAAACTTCAACAAATTTAGTCCCTGAAAATGCTGCAGAAGTACCTGTCAGATGATATCTTTGAATGTTTCTTGAAATAAAGGCAGATTGGATTTCCATCACAGAAAGACATAGTCTTACGATATAAATTATCGAAAATAAATAAAACATTATTGTTACGTTGATTAAAAGTCAGAAATTAAATATTTAACTCGGGATTCCTAAATTACATTTTTACTTCAACGAATGACTATATAATGTAGTTTGTTGAAATCCAGAAGTAATTCCAAGTCTGTTCCTTGCTGATAAACAGAAAATGGCCTACGAATCAGTCCTCTTCTTTCACAATCACCTACAACATCAAAATGAAGTTTCCTTTAGTTGGCCAGCCTAAAATAGTAAAAACACCCGTAAGCACAAAGCATTAACGATCTTAGCAACTACCGTAAATCACAGTATATTATGTTGACCCCTCCCTCTTGTAACATGTTCTGCCAAGACCTTGTCACTCTTATCAGAGCCTTTATAAGTCTGCATAAAAATGTCCTAATCATCTAAACTATCCTTCCATAATCTATCCACAGTTTGCTTCACCTCCAGTGATTGTGTATATTCTCATTTAACATGAATAGGAAGAGATGATATCCCGCGAAAAATGATCCTACATTTGTGCATAAGCTAAGACGAGTAGAGAAAATATAATAGCACTTGTGCAAAGCACTCCAAAGAGATCAATTTCCCCAATGTCGTTTTCGTTAACCAACAACAAGCAGGTTAGAAACATAGTACTGTTTCTTTTAACTTATAAACAACGCATTCTAGATAACTACCCATCAACAACAGATTTAATCAAAGCCAAATAACTACAAAAAATGATAGATAACAACAGGAAAAAATCGACCACCATCATTTAGTGAATAGTTCAATCCTATTGGTTAACAAATTCAGTTTCGACAATCTGAAGCGGTGACATTTCTGGTGATAAGAAAAACTCAGGTGATGGCTTCTGTATTTGTTATTCCGAGCTAATCATCTTTAAATCTTGACACAACAATATTTGTTCCCTAATAAATTTAGGGTCAACTATGTGAACCCTTCTGCACACTATCTTCTATTCATTGATAGATCTACCATAGGATCCTAAACTCATATTTTCAGTAACATATTAGTCATACAGAATCAGAATAGAACACAAATATTTGACATCCCGCGTTAATGAACAAACAAACGAAAACTATTAACAAAAACAAGAATTACCAATTTACAAGAGCTGGAACCCAGATGCAGACACAGGAGTTCCAATAAGTCCTCGAATCCATTGATGTCTCGCCTCAATTGGAAGCCGCAATTAAAGATTCTCTACCCAGTGGAACCATACATTCAATGCAGTATGATCCACCAAAGAAAAAAATTGAATAGAAATTATTCAGATGATGTGATTTTAATCGAAATACATATTGTTGTAGTTTTGGTTTAATAACCACCTTCTTCCTTTAAAATTTGCCTTCTCCTAATAAACAAGAATGCCACCACGCAAACTTGCAAGATCCCAGCTATTCCCGCGAACATTAGCCCAATTTTCTTCCCCGTGTTGAGCTTATCTTTCTCCTGCGGGGGGCTCAAATGTGGATGCCACTCGTTTGGAGGAGATGGGAGGAGGCGTTTTCTTGGAGATGGCGGTGGAGGGCTGAGAGATGAGGGCGGGGGAGGTGGTGGTGATTGAGTTGGAGGTGGAGGCGGTGGTGGAGGTGGAGGTGGAGGTGGTGGTGGCGGTGGCGGCGGAACAAATGGAGGTGGAGGAGCCAATTGAGGAGGTGGTGGCGGCGGAACGAATGGAGGGGGCGGAGCCAATGGTGGTGGTGAGTTGATGTCGACAGATGGTGGCAGTGAAGGAGGCGAAGAATTTCGCAGCGGCGGAGGATTCACATTCTGTTGAGACTCAACAATGAAAGCAAAGAAACAAAAGAAAATCCCAAAAGAAGCAATTATCAAATTCAACAATGGCGAATTCATATTGATCGCACACAAATCAATTATTCAGGGAAAATCATCTTCTTCGCAACCTCCTCGCATCCAAGTTAGCTTCAAAATCCTCGCTCTTCTTCTAATTCAACAAAAACGTGGCAATTTATTTCACGATCTAAAACCCAATAACTTGCAATACTTTTGGATCCTGGCCCTGGAAATTTCTTGTTATCTGCAATAAACAACAAAAAGATCCAATTGGGCTGGCCCCAAAAATCTTGATTTCTTCTTCAAACGGGGAAGAATTCACGGAAAAAATACCCAGAAAAACTAGAAACATTACATTGGATTCTCGAGTCTGGATTCAAATAAAATAATAAATAATTACAGGGTGGTTACATTTGCTTCTTCTTTTCCTTCCTTATCCCCCAATTCTCAATAAAATCAAATTAGAAAAAGAAGAAAAATGGAGAGAGAGATTGGGAGAGGGAGAGGGAGAGGGAGACAAGAAAGAGAAGGAAGACAGGGCAAGAGAGAGGTGAGAAAGGGGAAATAGGGAAGAAAAAACAGGCGGGAATTGATTCAACGGTTGGTGTAATTTTGGGGTTTATTGATTGATCAGGTTTAGGCGTCGATACACAAAATTGTAGCAGTAATTTAGGTGGTGGTGTGAATTTGTTTGTCTTAAAATAAAAGGACACTTCATGTTCACCTAGGGCATTGACCTTGTCAAAGTGCATAAAACACGTTGGTTGATTTGTACAATGAGATTGTCGAAATAGATGGTTATGTAAATATTTAAATATATTAATTGAAAAAGTTTTCGTGCGATAATTAGGTGTATAATGAAGAGTCATAAGTCATAACTTTTTGATAGAATGCAAACTAAACCATGACCAAATATGAAATAATGCGATTTAATGATTAAAATTAATTTGTGACAAAAGATGCGATCATTGGAAAGATACACTTTGAATCTATAAATTGAATCAATTTCGTTCCATTTTCTTCACACTAAATCTTAATTTAATTGATTCATAATTCTTTCATTCTCCAAATTATATCGTCCAAATTATTTTCAAGCTTCGTATTCGATATCATCTAGTCTACAAGAGTACAATCAAGTTTCGTTTAGCCCGATAAGATTAATAATGTGCTATAATAATTTTTGAAAGAAGTATTGTATTTTGGAAGAGTGATATTCATTTGATATGTTAGCACCAATGTGGGGGCGAAATCTATTTTAAAGATATTTGCGTTCGCATATCTCGTTTTATTTGATCTATATCTAATTTCTACAGTTCAGTAAGTCACAATTTGTGCAAATCTTTCATACACATATGTGGGTTTTGATAGGTCAGAACTCTATTTGATATTTTGACTAATACGTTACCATTTTGTCATATTTACATGCACATATTTTTGGTTAAAATGAATGTGTTAGGTATTTAGTGTTGACAATTCTATGGACGAAGGACTAATTTGTAACGTTATGTAAAAGTCAAGGACTTATGGTACAATCTGTATAAATTAGGTAAGTTAGGGTTTGAGTCCTTGAAGGAGTCCAAGATGTCCAAAAAAGTACAGCAGATCAGGAAGCTACAGGAGGTAGATAGGGAAGTCTAGCAGGGTAGCTAGATAATATCTACGATAGCAGGTCGTGAGTCTGGAAGGACCAGCAGATCTTGGAGATTACAATAATTACAACAGCAGAAACGAGTGAAGTTTGCTAGCTGGAAACATACTGTAATTCATATTGTCTGTAGTGGAGGTAACTGGCTTGATCCCGGAGTTTTTCCTAGTTGGATTTCTCCGTCATCATATTGGTGTTCTTTATTTACTGCTTTCATATTTATTGTTTATTATACAAACAGCGGTATTCAAAGATAGGATAATTTGAATTGTTTAACTAATCACCTAAATATAATTAACTTGTGACTTGTTACTTGTAAATTAAAGTTTTAATTTCGCATTTACACATAATCATCCTCTCTAGGTGTAGTAGGGTCAAATCTTGTGTTTCTCAATTTGTATCAGAGTCTAATCTCGTTCCTGACTCTTATTTGGATTGTCTAAATGAGTAGTTCGTTGTCTATGCCTCTATATTTTGATGGTAGTAATTATGCCTCCTGAAATGTTAGAATGAGAGCCTTTTTGAAATTTATAGATGAGCGGACATGGCTGAGTGTAGTGAATGGTTGGAGTGCCCCTAGTAGTACTGTAGAAAACGTAGTTACCCCCACTCCCATTGCTGATTGGATTAGGACGAACTTAGATGAGTGTAACTAGAATAGTAAAGCTTTACATGCCCTATTTAGCAGCGTCCTCTGAAGAATTTAAGCGAGTGTTCATGTGTGAGATAGCCAAATAGGTTTAGGATATTCTACAGACCACACATGAGGGAACTCAGGCTGTTAAGAACTCTAAGTTACAGATGTTGACAACTAGGTTTGAGGAGATTAGAATGAGAGAAGATGAGACTGTTGATGCCTTCTATGCGAGCTTAAATGGCATAGTGAATTGTAGTTTCAACCTAGATGAGAGAATCCCAGAGTCTAAAATTGTTAGAAAAATTCTTATATCCTTATCTGAAATGTTTAGGCCTAAAACCACTGCTATTGAGGAGAGTAAGGACATAGACTCCATTAAGGTAGAGAAGTTAGTCGGATCCCTCCAGACGTATGAGTTGACTTTAGATAAATCTGTTACAGATAAATCTCTTACCTTGAAATCTGTGAGAAACACCCGAATGGAATCCTCTAATTCTGATTCACCAGACGATGAGGAGTTAGCTTACCAGGCTAATAAATTCTGAAAAATGTTTAGGAAGAAAAAGAACCCTCAAGAGAGATACAAAGGTGGCCCGAGTGAATTTAGGAGAAAAACTAAATATGTGAGGTGCCATACTTGTTGAGGGTTTGGTCATGTTAGGAGTGAGTGCCCTAGTAGTAAGAAAAATTCGGATAAGGCTATGAATGCTACTCTCACTGATGACGAGTCTAACTCAAACAATCAGAGTGAGAAGTCCACTCATGATGAATCTGATCAGGGGAGTGAAAAAGAGGACTTAAATAGTGATACGGATTCTGATGAAGAGCTTAAGAGTGGGGAAGATATCCAAGAGGCTTATGATAAGATGCATGAGGAGAGTCTTAAGATTCTTACTAAAAATAACGCCTTGAGTGCGAAGAATAAAGAACTTGAATTGGAAAATGAGAAGTTAGTAGCGCACATTAAGGAGTCTACCTCGATCCTGAGTGAAGTGAAATCCATGAATGAATCTTTAGATATTCAGGTTAGGAACCTCACTAGTGAACTTGATAAGTCCTCTAGGAAAGTCAGAGAGTTGACCATTGAGTGAGAGACCTTAGAAATCCAGGTTAAGAACTTTCTGAGGGATCTAGAATATTCTAAGTCTCATATATTTGTCTTCTCTAGTGACTTTGAAAAGTTAGACAACATTTTAGGAATGGGCAAGCCGACTGGAAATAAGAGAGGTCTAGGTTTTAAGGATATTTCTAAGACCACATTTATCCTTGCTACTGAACAACCCAAACATGTGCCTAACCCCGATCTCAAGAATGAGGGATTTGTTAGACAGAGGTCTACTAGATAGCGTGGGAATCGTCGACCTAGGAATAGACGTCGGCATTCACATTACATTGGTCGTAAGTTTATCCCTACATGTTTTCACTGTGGTGAGTTAGGACACATAAAGGCTAGGTGTCATCATTTCCTGAATAGAAATAGAAACTTGAATTTAAATAGAAATAAGAATCAGAATTATGTTGATCAGATTGACCTTCTTACTAATCAGGTAAGTAAATTGACCAAGATCATGACACAGATGAATAGAAATATTCATGTTACTAGGCAAGTTTGGGTGAAGAAGAGTGATCTGAAAAATTCTGAAATAGATCACGGTGCTCTTAAAGATAAGAGCATTTACATACCTAACTGATTAGGTATTTTGGTTTGGTGCATGCTCGTGCTTTATCATTATGTGACTAGGATTTATGCATGCATCATGTTTATTTTTTATTATTTGTTCTCATGCATTTTATTTTATGATTTGTGTTTTGTTTGAATTCTTATATTTTGTGTGCTTGGTGCATTCATATTTTTATACGAAAAAAAAAACATTTCTTTTATTTCTTAGGTTTAAGTTTTTGCTTTGGGAAAAAGAAAAATAAAAAGTGAGAACAAAAAGAGTTTGATTTGGAAATTGGTTTTACAGCATGATACACAATACACTTGATTTTATGGGTGTTAATCAAGAATGAGTTTATTTGGTGGGCTGTAATATAATTTCCATTGCTAGCTTAGAATGCTCGTAGAGTTTTTAACACAGGTCTTTTCATATACTATCTGCACTGCACACACTATGATCTTGACTGCAGGACTCTACCGTATGTGTGAGATTTGGGATAGTAGTCACATATTATTAGGGTGACTTTGAACATGAATTGACTATTTTAATTAGACCTAAACTCGATTTTATCCCTGCATGATTCCATATTTGTCTAAAAAAAAAGGAGCTTTATATCTTAATGCTACTTTTCGAAACCTACTTGATTTGAGTAATTAAGCTTACGGCGTTTCTCATAACCTGGTGCCTATGGTCAATTGACTTGAGTTAATCGACTTAAAGCTCGTTACAGGGGTCATGTTAGTAGCTTAATAGAAAGTTGCATGCACTTAAAATTGAAAATATATTTGAGCGGTCCTGTTGCAAATTGTGAAGAATGAATAACTATTTGTGCTGTAAGTTAGCGAGAGAAGACATATTCTTTGTTAGACATGAGTTTTCATATGTAGGTTCTAATGTGGTTTAAAGTTTGACTTTCATAAGTAGATGAATATAATTATTAGCAGTGATGTTTAGCATGCCATTTCTTACAAAATTAAGGTATGGAGTCTTACTGCCGGAGGATTAGTGAAACTTCACACATATGAGTCACTTATATCATTTACTCCATGGGTGCTTTAAGTTGGAGTTGTGGGATACTTTACTATTCACTACACATACTTGTGATTGCTTATACCTA